CCGCCATGCCGGGGATGACGCAACGAGAGGGGGGATGGTTAACGGGCAGCGGAAAGGGGCCTTGCGGGGATGGCCGTGGGGCCCGGCCGTCCAACCTCTGCATTTTATACGGAGGTGATCCCGCCTTAACCAAGTCTAAGGCATCAGAATAAGGCAGGTTGGGGGAGGGGGATTGGCCCTTAAAATAAAGGCCCCCAAAATAAAGTTCCAGCCTCCAAGGTGCTGTGCACAAATCACTCACCAGAGAAATCAACTCTTTGCGTGGCTGCAAGGGACATCCCAAAGCAGGAATCACGTGTATCTCTTGTCCGCAACCAGCAGGGTTGAGTACAGAGGTGATGGTTTGAGTTTCTCCTTATGTCTTTGCAGTCGGGCACCGCAAATGAGAGCTGCGCCCCCAGCACCTGCTGCTCGGGCCCCTGTCCCAGCAGCGGCACCACCTTCTGCCGTGGCCTCTCCTGCACCGAAGCAGCCCGGTCTGATGGCACAGATGGCTACAACGGCGGCAGGAGTCGCTGTAGGCTCTGCTGTGGGCCATACCATAGGTCACGCGCTTACAGGAGGATTTGGAGGAGGAAGCAGCTCTGAAGCTGCGAGGCCCGATATCACTTATCAGGTGAGAGAGTACAGCTGGGTCCTAACAAGACACAGTTAATTTGAGAGCTCAGTTATATAGAGGGTAAGATAATTAATAAAAATGTATTGACCACACAAGTTGCAGCTGAGAAAAATAAGTAACTTTAGAGAATTAGTCAGCAATTTAATTATCCCAGTCACCATGTAGCCCTCAAGTAATATGTAACTGTGCTAATGAGGGTACAAGGATTTCTGTCCTCTAGGTCTGATGATGGCTTAAGATCAGTGTCTGAGATTGTGTTTTGTGCTGCTCAAACATTAATACAATACTACTGTTTCTTGTCCAGATACTATGCAAAGTTTCTTAAGTTTTTGTAATGTAGGAAACATGGATCAATGTCTTATTGCTGCTGGAAACTATTTGTACATAAGGCTGTTTGTTTTCTAATCAGAAGGCAATACAACACTTTGCTTGCTGTATTTCTTCCGTGCGTTTTAGCCAGTGCTGGGGTGGTGCAGTGCCTGAAGCTTTTCCAAATGTGCTTATGGAAATGTTGCTGTTTCAGGAACCGCAAGCGGCTCAGCCTGCCTACCAGCAGCAGCAGCAGTTTGCCCCTTGTCAGTATGAAATGAAGCAGTTCCTGGAGTGCGCGCAGAACCAGACTGACCTCAAGCTGTGCGAGGGGTTCAGCGAGGTCCTGAAGCAGTGCAGGTTTGCTAATGGTAAGTGGGCAACAGCACCAGGCAACTGCTAAATGAGCTGAACAGTAAAATCAAGTATCTTAGGCACATATCCAGTATTTAAATCTTTTCTGTCAAGAGTATGGACGGATATAGACCAGGCACTCACTGAAAGTTGCTTCTGTTGGTCCAGTACACGTACCTGGAAGTGGTGGGGTGGGGAGAGAGTGAATTCCTGGAGGTTTGGGTGCTGGCACGTCTGGATTAGACTGAGGCTGCTTAGGAGAGCAGAGGCAGAGCGAAACCTGTGTCCATCGCTTGCTGGCCTGGGCCTGCTGTCCTGTAGCTAGTGCCTCTTAGGCACAACTGCCCCAAGGGGAGAAAGGAGATTCCCAACATGGAATGTGTGGCAGACAGTGCTAAAATCTTCAGTTAAATGTGTCCCAGCAAATAGGAGAGGAAGGAACATCCTGCTCTACAGCTGCTTTGGAGTCAGGAGGTCTGCCTGTGGTTTATGGATTCAGTGTTAAAGTATCACTGTGATAACTTCTTGTTTTACAGGATTAGCTTAAACCTGCAGAATGTGGAAGCTGAGAACCATTGTGCGGCAACTGACCGAAGGAGAAAACTTCAGTAATAGTCTAAAGCTGCCTAATACTTTGTTAGTTCATATATTCACACTGTTGTCACCTCGTGGCTTAAATTTCTGCCATAGCTTCTACAGATGTGATACAATTCACAACAGCAGGTTAAATCGGAACAAAATGGAAAAAAAAATATGAATAATAAAGCAGAACGAGCTGATTGGGGTTAACTGGTTACTGATCATTGTGTTGAATGTAAGTGTGATACGATGTCTGAATAAACTTCTTTCTCTTGGAGTGCTTGTCTGCTGGGCTTTAGACTGAGGGGATTGAACTGAGGGGATTGAATCCCAAGGGTGAGCAAGGGAAAGACATCCTAGATGTCTCTGTCTGCAGGGGGCTGCGCTGGCAGGAAAGGGCCTTGTAGGGCTGAGGCTGCAGCAGGCTGCTCGCTGCCCCTCAGCGCAGGGGGTAGTTAGACTTGCCCAGCATTGCTCCTACGTAGTGTTTCTGAGGGCTGCGGGCACCTTCTGTGCTAAAACTGTTGTGGTTCCCTACGATGCTCCATGGAGACCCCTAGGCCCCTGTGACATCAACAGATCAGCAGCACCCTCCCTTTTTAGATAAAAGCCCCATTCCAGGTGCTAGGGGCTCTCAGCACTGCCTTCCCTGTCGGCAGGGGCAGGTGCTGTGGTCCCTGGTCGCAGTAAGCGCCAGTGCCCGCTAAGGAGCAGGGCTGAAGCTTGGAACAAGGCAGGGAGGTTGGTTAAGGTGAGCGGAGCTGCTCCTGCTGCTCCTGGCGCCTCCTCCGCACCAGCGACATGGCCACGGCTGCCCCCGGGGGACAAGTGCCAGCTCCGGCCTCCTCTGTGGTTGATGTGTCTCCAAGTGCAAAACTTCCGTCTTCCATAGGAGGGAGCAGCCGGGTCGCATCCTGCGCAGAGAGCTGGAGCAGCAAAACACACTGCGGCACCCGCGTTGTCCAGGCCTGGCACGGGCCAGCGCTGCGGGCAGTGACAAGGAGCAGGAAAAGGGGGATGTGCACTGAGGCAAAGAAGCCTGTGCTGAAGAGCGTACACAGAAATGGAGAGAATAGCAGCTTCCTCCTGCATTGCTCCCCGCTTCCCCTTTGCTTTTCTCTCTTCCCCCCGCTACTAAAAGCACTTAAAGATACCCCCGGTGCTACCTGTCTCTCCTGACATGCGCCGCTCTGCTCTGCATTCCGCCTGCGCCCGGGTGCACAGTGGCCTCGGCTTCCTGCCGCTGCAAAGACGAAAATGATAGAATAAGGAGGGGGGGGG